CATACAAACAGAAAGAGAAAAAAAGAATTCATAGAAACAATAAGAGAGAGAGAGAGACTTCATAGAAAGAATACGAGAGAGAGAGAGGGAAAGAAATAAAAAGAAGAAAAAAAATCAACATAAATTTTAAGACGTAAAAAAAAAAAAACGAAATTGAAATAATTTATTTATTAATGTTAAAATACAAAATCATCGTGTCATTAGTTTGATAAATACATTTTGTAAAAAAAAATTGATTTAAAAATCATTAAAAAAAAAGTGTGTGCGAGAGACACGACGTGGTTCGTGTAAGTACCGAATGAGACTAGTACCACGTATTAACATTAAATTTATACCGTTGAATAGTCACTCGGTCAATAAATCAGGTCGTATGATGACGTCACAAAATCGTGCCTGAAATCTCTTAGAATTCGCACGACTATAACGAGCCCCACGACTTGATGCGTGTGTGCGTGCGCGTGCGTGTTTTTTTTCGTATTGAAGATTATTAAGAAAAAAAAAAATTCTCAAGTTATCATATTTTGATTATTAAATTCCATTAACTTTCGTTTTATGTGATTTTCCTCGAAAAAAAAAAGTTTCACTTTAATTTTTTTTAATTAAAAAAAATTAAAAATGGCAGATCAGATATTAATAATTAGCACCGCTTTATTTTTTTTTTCTTTTTTTCCTTAATTTCACGAAAGGAAAACGGATAAAAAGTGAAAATAAATTATCGTCTAATTCCACGATAAAAAACAAAAATAAATAAATAAATTTCACCTGTTTTTTTTTTTTTTTTAATAAATTTTCTACATTTACGCTTCTGTTTTCTTTTGTTAAATTTTTTCTTCCTCCTTCCCCCCTCTTCCCCTCCCCCGAATAAAAGAGGGTCAAGGGGGTCGAAAGAGGATCAAGTGGAAGTAGAAAAAAAAAAAAAAAGAAAGATTTACGATGTCGATGAGATTATACTGGAGGAGGGTAATAAATTATTATTTTTATAAAAATTATAAAATATATTTTTTTTGAAAACCTGAAAGAGCCGCAATATTTTTATTTATTAAAATCGATTATAAAAAAAAGAATTAATTCCACGATAAACGTGGAAAAAGAAAAAAAAATTCGAGAAAAAATTCGATATTAATTAATTTAAAAACGGCGGGAAAAAAAAAAAATTTTTTTTTAATCCCAAAGGAATTCTCGCCACCGCCACCACTACCACCACCACCGCTACTTATTTTCTCTTTCTGCTGACACTTTGCGAAAAAAAAAAAAACGCCGTCGCCTTAAGGAAAAATCGAATGGATGGAAAGAACTCAATGATAATAATATTATATTAACGCTTTGAGGTTTTTTTTTTTTATTTCATTCACAGAAAAAAAAAAGAAAACTCGTTTATTTTCGGTAAGGGGGGAGGGGAGGGGCAAAGGGGGAGGGCATAAATAAAACGTTTAAAAACCCGAATCGTTTTTTTGTAACTGTTTTATACCCGTATGTAATACCTGAAATATTTGTGACGTGAGAGACAGAGAGAGATTAAAAAAAACTTTCTAATGAAAATAATTTAAAAATAATTTTCCCGCATATGCGTTTAATTTCAAAGCATGTCCGACATAAATTTATTTTATTATTTTTAATCATTCATTTCCTTTAATATAAAATTTATTTATTTAATTAAATAAAATTTTATCATTCGACATGATTTTTTTTTTTTGCTCAATAAAATCTTGAAAAAGTCTAACCGTATTAATATTATTATTATTACAGTACGAAATTTAAAAGGGGCAAAAAAATTTTTTTTTCTTTTTTTTTTTTTTTTAAATTCTAATTTTGACCAACTAACTAACTAACTAAATAATTTTTAAATATTTTTCTTTCCTTTATTATTATTATTATTATTATTTAAATTTTTAATATTTTTCGATTAAAAGAAAGAAAGAGAAAGAGAGAGAGAGAGAGAGAGAGAGAGAGAGGGAAAGGGCCATTGAGAATTATAACGGTATTAACTTTCTGTTTTAAAAACCACTCAATTTTTTTTTCCTTTTTGTTACCGATTAAAATTATCATTATTATTATTATTTGTTTAAATGAATTAATTTTTGACTTTTCGAATTTGGTTAGCATAAATAAATTTTACCGGCCATTTTAATGACCGCCATAAAAATGCAAAAAAAAAAAAAAAGAAAAACGAATTGAAAATATTGGAAAAAATTTCAATTATTGATTTAAAAGTGAATTGAAATTTTTATTAATTTTTTAAATTAAAAATTTTTAATTAATTGCTCTTATCAGTCATCATTATCACTAGGCGTGAATTTTAGAATAGTAAATAGTATAGAATAGTAAAAGAATATATTTTTTCCTTAAATACTATTTCATTACTTAATTTTCCTACTATTTCCCTCTTTCATAATTTTTCCCTCATGCATTTCATCCTTAATTTATCCACAGTATTTGTACCTATAGACTTCAGTAGTCTGAAGGCAGTTCAGAATTTTTCTAATTTTAATTGAAATTTTACACCAAACATATAGCAATATATGTTATTATAATGTAACCGGCAAAAATAAGAAAGTGGAGGTAAAGAGTAAAATAAAATTCAATTAATGGATTTCCACTTAAGATCAGATGTACGGAGATTTTATATTCACCTGATATCTTAAATTAATTAGATACGAAATTTTTTGATACTTATATTGGCAAAATATGTTAAAATGTATTAGAAAAACATAAGAAAAAAGAGGTTTAATTTTTTTTACTTTAAATTAACCAATCACAAGGGAAAATGGAGGTGTGGCTTTTATACCTTAAATTAACCAATCACGAGTATTTTTGATTCTTTTAATCGCAAAATACGTTAAAATGTATCAGACAAACATAAGTAAAAAATGGAGGCAAGGAGTAAAATAAAATTCAATCAATGGATTCACACTAAAAATCAGGAATACAAATAAAAAAACAAATAATATAAAATACTAATTATATTTCAATAAATTAAACTAAATTACAAAACTTTTAATATATAACTTATAACTAAATTGTTTACTAAAAACTATTTAAATTAATTACATTCAAAAATTTTTTTGTACAAAAAAAGGTTTGAAAGGTTAAATAAAATTTTTGTATAAAACTGCGTTGCACGTCATGCATTTGTCGCGCGCTTTTCTTTTCCCCGCCTTATTTCTAAAATAATAAGGCTTCGAATTCGGTGACGCACACACGCAGTTGACAAAGAAAAAAATAATAATGATGATTGGGAAAAAAAAAAAATTTATTTACAAGCAAATAATAATAATAATAATAAATGATTAAATATAAACTAGATTATGTCGTCGTTTTCGTGTTTTTTATTTTTCGTCTTGATCAATAACAAAAACGACAACGAAAAATTTTTTTTAAATATTAAGAACGTGAAAGTGTTCCAACAACCATGAAAATGAGATTTTTACACGTGAATTAATATTATTATCGTCATAGTCATCGTCACATTTAAATTTCTTATCGGTTACTCTTTTCTTTTTTTTTTTTTTGTTTTTATTGTTACAGTTAGAAAAACAAAACAAAACAATAACAATAATGATAATAATAATATTAAAATTTTCGTTTTCAACAGTTGGTCAAATTGGTTTTGCGTTCGCGTGTTTTTTTTTCCGTTAACTTTCTAAAAATTATTTCGTTTTTTTTAATTGTTTGTTAGTGACGTAAGCAAAATTTACAAAAAAAAAAAAAATTAAAAAATTTTCGTTTTACAATTTCAAGTTTTTTAAACGTGCGAATAGAAAAAAAAATTTTTTACAAACGTTTTATTATTTATTTTTTTACTCTATGACTTTTTTTTTTTTATTAATCGAATTACCAAACATTCAAATTTTCCCTTTTCTTTTTCCTTTTTTTGTATTTCCGTCTCGTTACTTTTCTTTTTGTTCTCAAATCAAAATAAATCAGATCGATAAAACTAATAATAATAATAAAACATTTTACAGTAAAAATAAAAAGGAAAAAAAAGGAAAGAAAAAGGAAAATAAAAAGGAAAAAAAGAAAAATAAAAAGGAAAAAAAAGAAAAATGAAAAGAAAAAGAAAATTTTTTTTTCTTCTCACGTAAAATCGATACGTTTTATTTTTCCTTTTTTTTTTTTTACCTTTTCCAGGAAAACATTTGAAACGCAAAAAAAAACAATTTTCTTCTGGAGAAAAAAAAAAAAAAGAAATTTTCACTTTTTTTTTAAATGGAAAACTTTTTTTTTAAAAAAAACTTGTCGACTGTAAAAATTATTTACAGGAAATATAAAAAAAAAAAAATCAAAAATCAAACTTCATTATTTTTTATTTTCGGTTGATTTAATTTCCCCCCCCCCCCCGCTCTTTTTTTCCTCCTTTTTTTCTCCAGGAAAAGCTTTTGGATTCTGTTTACTTTTCCACCGAATATTAAAGAAAAAAAAATTATCATCATCATGATCGTAATAAATTTTTTTTGTGTCATTTAATCTTATTTTTACGACAGTGCAAGTAAATTTTTTTTCTCCAGCCCAAGTTATTATTATTATTATTATCGGATGTTTTTGTTGTGATAACCGAGACACGTTTTACGTATTTGATATGAATACGTAATTAACAACATCCGTTTTTACGTTATCATGATAAATTTCATTGAAAATTCACTTTTTATAAGGACGCGTTGTTTTTTAAAAAAAAAACTAAAACTAAATAATTATCATTATTATTAGTCTTTCATGTTCCGACGACGCCATATTTAAAATTCTCCAGATTCGACTGTTTCCTCCTACTCCTCCTCTCCCTTTTTTTAAAATGCTTTTAACCGTGTTAGGAATTCTAATTATTGGACTTTTTTTTCATCTACGTTATTAATCTCATCGAAATATTTTTTAATTTTTAATACATTTTGTTTTTCAATTATGGCTAACGCGATAGTCGAACCGGAACGACCAGACGACGTTAATAAATAATAATAATAATAATTTGTTTTTTTTTTTTTTTTTGTTAACAGAATGCAGCCTTTGAGATGTCAATATGGCTCGTGATTTCTACAATTTTTTTATTACAATTTCATTTTCAAACAATAATTTCTTTTACTACTACAACAAGTTACCACCATAGTGAAACAGGTAAAAAAAATTTTCTTTTCCGTCACAAGAAAAAAACAACATGGCCGCCGCGTTGTTTTGATTTTAATGTCATATTAATAATCTAATAATTCATTAGACGTCATATTAATAACGATACGAGTGATTACTTTCACTGAATTAAAAATTACCGAAAGGCTTTGCGTATCGTTCGAATGGCGGTGGCGAATGTTAATAATAATAATGATAATTTTTATAAGACGTACCTTCATGCGGTGATGGAACCTTTCCGCTGAAAAATTTATTATTTCTTTTGTTTTTTATAGGTAGAAAATTATTTGGTGGGTATAGAATCGTTCCGAGGCCATGTACCACAACAGCATCATCATCGTCGTCGTCATCATCAACGGATAAAAATCAATCAGAGCCAAAGACTGGAATTTGTATGTTTAATTACGAATGTAATCAAAGACGAGGTGAAATGATCGGCTCTTGCATTGATGGATTTTTATTTGGTGTTTGTTGTTCTCTACCTAATTCGGGTGAAATACAAATGATAGGTAAGATTATTGAATTTAACAAAAATTAATAAAAAAATACGTGTCATAAGACGAGGAACCCCTCCTTCCCTCCCCCCTCTTGACTCTCCGGATAAAGATTTTATTTGTTTGTTTTAAAAGATCGATGATTTGAAACAGGAAAAAATTTTTTTAAAATCCTTTCGTGACTTTTTTTTTTTTTTTAGGAGATGACGTCGTTCATCTTTTGGGTTCCTACGGTAGTTCTTTAGCCGAATCATCTAGTAAAATTTCCCTTTCGGATAATAATAATAATAATGAATTGAAGAAAAGTACAACAACGACGGAATATCCCACGGCAAAATTTAGCACGCGACCTGATTTTGAAACCGCACAAAAAACGAGTCCTGCGTACAACAGCGAATTTTTCGCCGCCTCCAAAGATCCAGATAAATTAATAAGTTTATTGATATCCGGTAAAATTTTTTTTTTTTGCTTTCCTCGACTTTCACAACAAAAAATTTATTATTATTATTTTCGTTCACGAAATTTTCCTTAGGCTTTAATTAAAAAAAAAAATTATTTATTTTTCCTTGAGTAAAAAAAAAAAAAAACTAAAACTAAATTTAAAAAAAAACGAATCACGAAATGATTTTATCTTTTTAAAATTATTATTATTATTATTAAAATCGTAATTAAAGTTTTTTTTTTTTCGACAGGTACCACGGCGGCAAATTTTAAAAAACCATCGTTTCAAAAACCGATACTCGAACAATATTTTAACGGTAACGCGAGTGGACAATTCATCGATAATCAAGATTACTTGCCATTGCACGTGTATCCAGCAGCCGACACGGTACTTTTAAATCACGACGGTACAATCGTCGAAGATGATAAAAATCCTGAAAATGTTTTTACGATACCCAATTCAAATAATAAATACGGTGAAAAATTCACTACGCCCAGTATGGAAAATCAACTTTCGGAAAATCAAGATAATTTCGGGTACATATTCGGCAACAATCATATATTTCCGATTAAAGATTCGACTAAAACGGAATCCGTCACCAAAGGTCATATCGAATCATCATCTGGTCATTTTTCCACTCAAAAACCTTTACGTAACACCGTTTCCGAAACGCAAAATCCTCAATGGCAAGAATTATACACTTACGTAACGCAACATCCTACTCAAAGTAATACGCAAACTCAATCGGATGATGACGTCACTTTTGTTAAATACCCGAATAAACCTGATATGTTGACAACTTCTTCGTTTTTCTACAAGAAAACGGATTCTCAACCTCCGAAACTTTCACCGACAACATCTCACCCGAAACCATCCTATATTATTTCCGAAGATAATTTAGTTCTTTTACCTACTTACACGAGTAGTAGTGGTAGTAGTAGTAGTAGCAACAACAATAACGATAAAAATAAAGATAATAATAACAAAACGAAAAAACCGGTCACGAAAGTACCCACGGACTTAACCCAAGTAACGAGTAAAAAATCAAGCAAACCGATATTTTTATCGAGTACGATACCAATAAGAGCAACGACTTTGCCTGCTTTCGATCCGGATGATAGGTATCCGAGTTTTAGTTATGATTATTACACGGGTAGTTCTAAACCTCCGATAATGATATCCCAACCGATAGGAGGTTTAGAAGACAATAATCAAGCGATAAATCATATAATTGGAATACTTAATTCGACTTATCCGAAACCGGAAGTTGTTACCACACCAGGTAATACGGATTCCGGATTATCTACTTGGGTATCGATAATAGGAGATGATGAGTCAAATAAAAAAAAACGTCCTAAACCAGGATCTACCAAACCTGGAACATCGACAACTGTTGTTCACGGTCCCGCCTTTTCGGTAACTCCTAATCAACATAAGCCGGCTCCGACTTTGGTTGTGATAAGCCATGATACGACTCAAAGTATTCAAACCGCTAAGCCTAGTAAAAAACCGAGTCGTCCAACTCCTACCCTGAATAAATTTTCGACAAAAACAACCACAACAACAACAACAACAAAACCGACTCAATTTTATGAAAATAATGTTTATCATACCGGTCAAGAAAATCTAATTAATTTTCCACCGGTGAGAAATCCGGATTTAAATTCCACAGCTTTAAATCAAATGGAAAAACCTACTGTAGTTGAAACATACGTTTCCGGTCAAAATGAAGTCATACAATTACCCAACGGTATCGCTCTTGAAGTAGTACCCGACGGTACTCCTTTAAACGGTTTAGAGGAAGAAGATGAAGATTATAATGACATTACGACTCCTTCCTTTCACGAAGAGAAAGTCGGTAGCCAAGTTCATTTATTCGTTGAAAAAATAGTCAATTCCCTTTCGGAAAATTTTCAAGATTTAGAACATGTTTTGTTTAAAAACGAAAACAAAACTTCATTGACAAGTTCGAATGGCGTTCAGTTGAACAACGTTCACGTTGGAGAAGAAAATGATAAATACACGACGGAGGGAGGTAACACTATTTTAACAACTACTAGACTACCACCACGACGGTCGACAACTTTAAGACCTGAATTCGACGACACTACTATTTTCGAAACAACTATTTACACTCCGACAAAAAGACCAACGAGACTGACAACTAAAAAACCTTCGACAAATTATTTAACCACATTACCCGGTATAATAATTAAAAAACCTACAACTCTTCCTTCAACTATAACCGAACCGGTTAAAAAACCGATAACGATTTCTCCAACGAAAAAACCAACGGTAACATCGATACCTACGAGAAAACCAATTTCATCTACAGGCACCACAACAGGTACTAAAAAACCAACTATAATAACCGTAACTAAACGACCGACTACGGTTACGACGAAAAGACCGACAAGCATTTTAACTACTATTACAACGAGAAGAACAACAGTGACGAAAAAACCTAAACCGACTACTACTACTACGACTACCAAACGTACAACAACAACCACAACTACAACAACTGAGATACCAAACGTTGGTTCTGAAGGAAATCTCGAAGATACCGAACCTGAAATTGAATCACCACCACCGGTAGATTTTCGTAGGCGTAAGTTAAATTTAACGAAAAACTTAAAAAATTTTCCTCATGGCGGCATTATCGAAATAACATTTTTTTCCGTTCAGAATGCGGCGTTCGACCATTGGTAAAAAAAGGAGGTAGAATCGTCGGAGGTAAAGGTTCTCAATTCGGGTACTATCCTTGGCAAGTTTTAGTTCGTGAATCGACATGGTTGGGACTTTTTACTAAAAATAAATGTGGCGGAGTTTTAATCACCAACAGATACGTCATAACGGCGGCACATTGTCAACCCGGGTAAAAAATCGTTTCCATATCCGAAAAGAATAATTTTAAAGACGTGCAACAACAAAAAAATCACATTTTTCTTCTTCTTCTTGTTCAGATTTTTAGCGTCGTTGGTAGCAGTTTTTGGAGAATACGACATAAGCGGAGAACTTGAAGCTAAAAGATCTGTGGCGAAAAACGTACGAAGAGTAATTGTACACCGACAGTACGATCCGGCAACATTCGAAAACGATCTTGCACTTTTAGAACTCGATTCGCCAATTAATTACGAGGAACATATTGTTCCGATATGCATGCCTAGAGACGGTGAAGACTACGTCGGAAGAATGGCAACCGTAACCGGTTGGGGACGATTAAAATACGGTTAGTTAGTAAAAGGACAACAAAGAATTTTCGAACGGGAAAAATAAATAAATTTTCTTTTTTTTGTTATTAAAGGTGGAGGAGTTCCAAGCGTTTTACAAGAGGTACGAGTTCCACTTATCGAAAACAGCGTTTGTCAAGAAATGTTTCAAACGGCAGGACATCAAAAACGTATAATAAGCAGTTTCTTATGTGCCGGTTACGCAAACGGTCAAAAAGATTCGTGCGAGGTAATTACTAATTTAAATAAAATATACTAATAATAATAATTTTATACCTCTCTTAACGTCATACGCCATAATTACAGGGAGATTCAGGCGGTCCACTAATGGTTGAAAGAGAAGATGGCCGTTGGGTACTATTAGGTACGGTATCACACGGTATTAAATGTGCAGCACCTTATCTTCCAGGAGTCTACATGAGAACAACATATTACAAACCCTGGTTAAAAAGCATCACTGGCGTGACCGCATCCTAAAACAAAACCAAAAAAAAAATTATCATTCAATACTCCTTTTTTTATCGATGTTGGAAAATTTTCTTTTTTTGAAACCGGAAACAACAATAACAACAACAACCAAAGCTAGTCAAACAATCTAAAAAAAAAAACGGAAACGACGTATTAATAATAATAATCAAAGTGATTCGTGTGTGCGTGTGTGCGTGCGTGTGCGTGTGCGTGAAAATACTTTGTGGAAAAGGTGCCTTTTTATAAAATTTACCTAATTTTAGAACTTGAATTATCGATTTTTTAAATATATATTTTTTATAAAAAGACCCTGTGAGTATATTTAATTATCGTAACGATAATAAACATTTTACGATCAACTTTTTTCTTTTTTTTTTAATAATAACGACTAAAAAATAATTTCAAATGTGTATCTGTTCGGTGAATTTTAACGTTTTTTTTTTTTTTATTTCCTGTTAATAATTTTTATTATTATTAATTATTTATTTAATTATTTATTTATTTATTAATTAAATTTATTTATTATTTGTAGATTTACTCTATTTTTTTTTTTTTTAATATATTTTATAATTTTTTTGTATATTTTTTTTATTTATATTTTGTTTTTTATTACCTTCAAACCGGTTTATTATTATTATTATTTTGGTTAATCATCGCTAATCCGCGATCGGTTCCGTTTCCGGTAAATCTTATAATAATAATAATATTATATTTATTAAACGAAATAAATTATTATTAACTTGTTTTTCTTTTTTTTTTTTTAAATTATCGTTAATAAACTAGGATATAAGAAAATATGTCCGTTTGTTGTTGTTGTTGTTAAATCCCTAATAATAATAATGATAATAACAACGATAAATAATTATATTATTATTATTATCATTAACGTTTGAATTTTTAATTTATCGAGAGTCGATAAACAATGAAAAACATGAGAAAAAAAATTTTTTTTTCCCCGAACCGCGGCTTAAAAATATTATTATTATTATTATTAACACGCGGAATAAAAAAAAAGAGGGGGGAGAGGAGGAGGAGGGGAAATAGTTAAAAGGGTCATTAATGAATGAAAATAATAATAATAATAAATAAAATAAAATAACGTAAAAATTTTTTTTTTTTGGGGGAACCTTAAAATCCAGTTCGGGTTATAAAGAAAATATTAAGAGGAGGGGAGGGAAAGAGGGAGGAAGAGGGGAAAGGAGGAGACAGAGAGAGGAAAAACTAAAAATAAAAAGGGAAAACCTGAATGGTAGGTTGTGAGTGTGTGTATGTGTGTGTTTGTGTGTACAAGGGTAATTTAACTGCGAAAGCTCAGGTTATTGATCGAATTTTCCACCAAAGCTTTTCCACGGAACCATCCATTGCGACAGTTCACGTTCAGCTATAAGAGGGCAACAAGTGTTGTTTTATTTTATTTTTACGCGTAATAAAAATAAGTAAATAAAAAAATATTTTCGATATATATATATATATACATAATTTAATCGTAAATTAATAAATTAATAAATAAATAAAAATTAATTTTTCAAACGTTTTATAAGAAAACAAAAAAATTTTTTTGCCAAAGGTATGTATATAAAATTATTATAATAAAATTATTTAAATAAAAAATATAATAAAATTTATGTATTTATTTATTATTAAGTTTTGTGAATTTATTTTAATTAATAATTTTTCATCATTAATAATGTTTATCGTTGACAAAAAAAATTATTATTATTATTTTTTTTTTCCAGTAAAAAGAAGAAATTGAAAGATTATTATTATTATTATTAATTATTATTAATTGAAAATTGGGAGAAGAATACATAAATAAATAAATAGAAATGTCGAGAATTCAAATTTTAATGACGGTTGTTTTGGCACTTTATTTTTTTACACCGACGGTTTTGGGTTGGGGAGGACTTTTTAACAGGTTCAGCCCCGAAATGTTATCAAATATGGGTTACGGAGGATATGGAAGTTCTAGAAATCAACCCTTTTTACAGGTAATTATATTTCTTTTTTAAAATTATTTAAACCTTCCCTCCCTACCTCTCCCTTTCTACCTCTCCCCCCCCTCAAAAAAAAAAATCAAAATTTTACTTCAAATTTAAATATTCTAATATGAATAAATTCCATTTAAATTTTTAAATTCCTTAAAGAGAGAGAGAGAGAGAGAGAGAGAGAGAGAGGGGGTAGGAAAACCTCAAGTAAAATGATTAAAGAAAACTTTTATATATAAGATGTTAAACCTTTTTTTTTCTCTCTCTCTCTCTCATTTTCTTCTTACATTCAACCTTTTATGATAACAGCAAAAAAAAAAAGATTATAAATCAATAACGTTATAAATAATTCATTCACGTTCGGTTAAACCTTTTCCCCTCCCCACCCCTCCCCTCCCCTCCCCCTTTTGCTTTTTTTAACTCTTTATGATTATGATGATGATGATGATGATGATCGTACATATTATTATTCTTGTTAAAAAAAAAAAAAGAGAGAGAGAGAGAGTAAAATAAATTACGGATCATTTTTTAATGTTTGACATTTTAAATAATTATTACATTTTTCCATTCATAAATTCTAAAAAAAAAAAAAAAAATGGATTATGCATGAAACTTTATTTATGTTTAACAAATAATAATAATAATAATAATAATAATAATAATAATAATAATAATAATGATAATAATATCCAGGTGTGAATATTAAAAATGTACGAGTTGAAAATTCTTTGGATTAAAAAATTTAAAGAAAAATTTTTTTTTTCCTTTTTCATGTCGATTCGTTTTTTTTTTTAATGGCTTAACCCGTCATATTTTTTATTTATTTATTATTATTATTATTATCGTCGGGAACGAGACGATTGATAAAGGCGTTAGGTTTGTTGCCTTGTTTTTTATATAAAAAAAAATTCAAAAAAATTTTTTTTGTTTTTTTTTTACAATGAATATTTTATAGAAATTCAATTTATTTTTTATTTTTTTTGTTTTGATTCAATAAAATTCGATATAAACAAAATAAATAAATAAATAAAAAATTAATTTTTAACGTTTTTGTTTAAACAAAAAAAAAGTAATAATAATAATAATAATAAAAAGTTTAAAACGTGTATATATTTTTTTATTGTTTTAAAACAAAACAGAGGGGGGAGACAAAAAAAAATTAAATGAAAAATGTTTTGTTTTATTATTATTATTATTATTATTATTATTATTAAAAAGAAATTGTATTAAATTTCTAAACTCATTTCTCTCTCTCTCTCTCTTTATCTTCCCTCTTGCCCCCCCCCCTCTCTCTCTCTCTCTCTCTCTACATTTTCTTTTGTTTAAAACTTTTTAAAAATTAAAATTTTTTTTTATTATTTTATTTTCAATATGAATTCGCATTAAAAATTTATTAAAGAAAAAGAAAAAAATTTTTTTCCTTCGAATTATTATATTTTATTTTGTGGGGAGTGGGGGGAGGCGATAGGTCTAAACCCATCGGTGGGGGGCATCATAAAACTAATTTCCTTACAAATCTCTACCGTCCGTTTTTCCTACTGTTTAAAATAAATTATTTTAAATTGAATTTATAACCTTTTTCCCTAACTTTAACATTACGCCATTTTTTTTCCCCCTCTCTCTCCCCCCGTTTTATATTCACCCATTCGAAAACCATTTTCTTTTTTTATAATTCTTTTATTTTCTACGAAATACCTTAAATAATAATAATAATAATAATTTTGTTTTTTTATTGTTTTTTCTTTAACGAATAAAAAAAAAAAAACGCGTTTTACGATTCGCGTAATAATTTTTTTCTTCTTCTTATTTTATTATTATTATTATTATTTTTAAAACTCGTTTATAATATTATTATTATTATTATTAAAGTTTATTTTTTAATATTATCACTCACATCTTTGAAAATTTATCCGACGAAAAAACGTCACAAATTGAATTTAAAGAAAAAAATAACTAAACAAATAAATAATAATAATTTTCTTTTGAAAAATTTAAACAAAATGAATTCATTATTATTATTATTAATATAAATTGTGCTTTTTGATGTACTTACAGAGATACGAATCACCTTCTGACATTTTACAAGAATTACAAGAAGTCGAAGAACCATGCTACGGAAGAAAATGTACCGCTAACGAATTTTGTTGTCCGGGTTCTGTTTGCGTCGACGTTGACGGAAGTAAGTTTTTTTTTTTTAAATTATTTATTATTAAAAATAAACCGGAAATCCTCCTCTATTACGACGATGACGATAATAATAATAATAAACTGTAAAAAGAAAAAAAAAATTCGACTTATAAAAAAAAAAAAAAAAAAACATTCGACCGGAAATGATTTCTTTTCTAGCGGTCAGAAAAATTTTATCCGATAAAGACCCAAAAAAAAAAAAAAAACAAAATGGCCGACCGGATTATATTTTTCACACATATATATTTCTTTTCGATTATTTATAAAATTATTTGAAATTTTTTTTTTCTACACACATTTACATCCGGTCGTAAAAACCTCTGAAATTATCGAATTAAACGATTTATGGAAAATTTTCAAATTTTGTATGACGTCATCAATATCCGGGTAATAATTTATTACGCGTTCGATTTCATAAATTAATTTGAAATTAGAATTAAACATGGAAATATTTTTCATAATTTTATGAAAATTTTTTTAAACTCCAAAAAAAATTTTTCTTTTTGCATTCCACATCATCATCATCATCATCATCATTATTATTATTATTAATAAAATTCGGATCGGTAAATATGTAATAAAAAAAAATTTCAACTTAAATATTACCAATTATTTATTAATTAAAATTTCTTTAAAAATTAATAATAAATATGATAAATTCTAGAATTTTCTAGAATTTTAAAATTTAAACTTTTCATTTTGAAAAAAAAAAAATAAAGTTCGTTAAAGAATTTTTAGTAATAATAATAATAATAATAATAATTAATAATTAAAAATTATCGCGTTACATGGATGATAATAAATAATATAATAGAGTGTGGAAAGGAAACGTATGAA